ACCAGCACCTGTGATCAATTGTTTAGACACGTACATGTACATTCGTTGATATACAGAACAGGATTTTTTTCTGGAAGACCAACATTTGCGATGAAATGTTTAGACCCTTCGCTATTGCATGCATAAAGAGACACAATACACTTTGAAAAGGGGTATAAGAAGGTCAGCTTAAAGGGACGAAGGTAGTAGGAAAGCAGAGACTAGTATGGATTGACAACAGAAATCATAATCAGCACGATCGTTGGCACAATAAGCAAGTAAGTGTAATAATGTAGTGACCCTATCAACACTTTCGGATTATTTGATAGGTGGGACCCTTGAGTTTGAAATCTGTCACCGATAGGACCGATGCAAATGGGTAGAAAGTCTTGAAAACTTCACAAAACAACGCCGGGTGTGGGATTCAAAGCAGGGCCATTCACCCATAGTCTAGCGTGATACTAATTGGGTAATAAGCAACCCTCGTTGGAACAGCGTGCCAGAGCAGCTGTCAACGGTGGATCATTGCGCGCCAACATCAGGGGCATCCAAATCAGAGATAACGCCTCCAACCAACCAGTCAACGCTGCTTACAAACTAAAGATCGGATGTGTAAATTTACTCTAAAGGACTTCTGTTTTATAGTCTCAACTCTTTCTGTTTTGATATTGCCATATATTCAGCCGTAATCGATTTGTTTAAGGTAGGTGTCATGCTATTCGATACTTATACTCGAATATAGTGAAGATGCTCGATACGAAAATAAACACTTCCCTTCCCTATGAGATCAATATGGCTGAATGTTTACTATCGTCTTGTGCTCGTCTGACTTTGATCAAATATCAAGAATACATAACATCATAACATGGTGTCAGAAGTGGGATGGTCTGCCCACTTAACAAGTGATAACAGGTAAAATAATTTAGACTTTGTTATCTAATTCTGTATCTAGATCTAGATCTAGAGATCCAGACGTAGAAAGTTTCGTAACATACGCGCACTCAGGCAAATGTAGCAGACGTTGCGTCCTAGATCTAGATTCTACGTCAAGCAAGCTCCTTGAATGAACCAAGGGACGCAACCAAATCAAAGTTTCCTATCTCTAAAGTCAACAAGTTTTGCCTCCCTTCAATATGACACTAAAACTGCCACCACCACAGCCTATGAATTTCAGGAATGAAACAGGCCAGTTAGCTGACAAGTGGAAATCATGGAAGGAGACAATAACTTTATACATAGATCCAGCAATGCAAGACAAGCCTGAGAAAGAGAAATGTCAAACTATCCTCTACCTCATAGGAGGGGAAGGAAGGAAGATTTACCACACATGGCAAATCCCAGAAGAGGAAAGAGACAAAGTGGCCCCATTAATGGAAATATTTAATAAATACTGCACTCCCAAAGCAAACATCACCTTAGAAAGGTACAAGTTTAATACAGCAAGTCAAGCTGAGGGGGAAAGTGCGGAAGAATATGTCACAAAACTCAGGAAATTAAGTAAAAACTGCCATTATGGGAAGCTAGAAGACGAGCTAGTAAGAGACAGACTTATTGTGGGACTGAGAGACAACTCCTTGAAAGAAATTTCCAAATCAGGAATTGGACTATTAGATAGCCAACATAGAATGTCAGTCCAGACTTTGCAGAGGAAAAAGTCCAGCCCGTCACCAAAAGTCTACAACCCATCAGCTAAGCACAAACCAAAGTGCGGGTCCAGTTTAAAGATTCAGCCAAAGAAACGTTGCACCAATTGTGGAGGTTCTTCACACCCTTTTCTTCAATGACCTGCTCGAAACCAAACATGCAATTATTGCAAGAAGTTACACAACTTCAAGAAAGTATGCAGGAAACTCAGATGCAACAAGACCAATGAAATCACAATGGGGGACGACTCAACAGAAGAAGAAGAAGAACAGTATAGTTGTGCATTTGAGACAATGAAGCTGAAAAATCTGACAGTGAAGCTTTTGCAACTGTTAATTAAAGTCAAGTTACCTGAGTGGAGTAAAGCAACTCTAAAGGCAAAGATAGATACTGAATCACAAGGAAATGCCTTGCCACTAAGACTGTACAGGAAGATGTTTCCATCAAAAGTTGACAAAGAAGGGTCAACAGATTTGACCCTATCCGAAGTCAAACTGACT